GCCACAGAGAAAAAGAAAAAAAAAAAGGCAATTTGATGAGTTCTGCTTTTTGTACCCACCCATGTGAAAGTATCACAGTGAAAATACTGAATATATCCACCACACCCACAAATTTCCTCCCTGTCTTCCTCCAGCTCCTGGACCCACACAACCAAAAAGAAGGGATACTTTCAACAAATGATACTAAAACAACTGTAAATCCATATGCAAAAAAAACCCTGAACCCTACCTCATACCATACACAAAGATTGACTGATTATAGGCTGAAAGATAAAAATTAAAACTACAAATTGTCTAGAATAAAACAGGAGAAAATATCCATGATCTTGATTAGGCAAAGATTTCTTAGGACACAAAAAGGATAAGCATAAGAAGCTGGACTTCAACAAGATGAAGCTCTGTTCCTCAAAATAGTATTAAGAAAATAAACAGATAAGCCATAAATTTGGAGAAACTATTCAAATATATATCCAACGAAGGACTTCTAACTAGAATATATGAAGAACTCTTACAAGTCAGTAACAAGACAACTCAATGAAAAATGGGCAGAAGATTTTCCCTTTATAAAAGATATATATGAAAGGCCAATAAGGATCTGAAAAGATGCTCAATGTCATCAGTAATCAAGGAGACACAAATTAAAACCACAAACAGACAGTATGTCACACAAGTAAGAATGGCCACAATTTAAAAGATGGACAATACTCATGGATACAGAGCAAGTGGAACTCTCAGACACTGCTGGAGGGAATGTAAAATGGAACCTCTTGGAAACTGTTTTCGAGTTTCTTACAGAGTTACCATACAATACAGCAATTTCACTATTTATCCCAGATAAAAACACAGGTCCACCCAAAGACTTGTATGGAAATATACAAGCAAACGGATAAACAAATTGTAGTCATTCATCCAAAGGACTATTTTTTTTTTTTTTTTTTGAGACGGAGTCTCGCTCTGTCGCCCAGGCTGGAGTGCAGTGGCGCGATCTCAGCTCACTGCAAGCTCCGCCTCCCGGGTTCCCGCCATTCTCCTGGCTCAGCCTCCCGAGTAGCTGGGACTACAGGTGCCCACAACCGCGCCTGGCTAGTTTTTTGTATTTTTAGTAGAGACGGGGTTTCACCGTGGTCTCGATCTCCTGACCTTGTGATCCGCCCGCCTCGGCCTCCCAAAGTGCTGGGATTACAGGCATGAGCCACCGCGCCCGGCCCCAAAGGACTATTAATGAGCAAAAGGAATGCAGTACTGATACAATATGGATTAACCTCAAAACCATTATGCTGAGGAAGCAGACACAAGAGTACATACCACAGCAAATCTATATCTATATGAACAGAAAGTAGACAGTAGCTCTATGAAGTCTAGGGCTGGAGAGAAAGAGAGATTGGGAGTATCTACTGTATTGGTCCATTTACATAAAAACTCCAGAAAAGACAAACTTTAGTCTACGTAAGACTTTTTATGTAGTCTACATATCTACATAAAAACTCTAGAAAAGACAAATTTTATCTAGAGCGAATCAGTGGGTGCTTAGGGATGGGGATTGGAGGGGACTGACTAGGATGGAGGCCAAGGGAACTTTTTGGAATGATGCAAATACCTTGGAGTGGTGGTTACATGGATGTACACATTTATCAAACTTATTTAAATGTACAGTTAGACTATTATTGTATAAGTCATACCTCAATAAAATTGATTATAAATAGGTCCAAACCCAAAACTAAACCAAAATCAGCAAGATTAATTACAAATTCACTGAATCATTTCTGAATAAACAGTTGTCCCAAAAACCTGCAAAGGTGCTTTAGGAAATCTGAAAACACAAGGTGTCAGAATATTTTATTCAAACTGTTAAAATGAGACAACTAAAAAAGCTGCTATGTAACAAGCAATTGTCTCTCTATCCATGGAAGATTGGTTCCAGGAACTTCTGCAGATACCAAAATTCATGAATGCTCAAGTCTGTTATATAAAGTGGCATAATATTTGCATATAACCTACACATCCTCCTACATGCTTTTTTTTTTCTTCTGAGTCTGCTTGCTAGGGAACTCCCATATACTTTAAATTATCCTTATGTATAATACCTAATACATTGCAAATAGTTGTTATACTGTATTTTTTATTTGCATTAAACTTTTAATTTTAGATTCCAGGGTACATGTGCAGGTTATACAGATTAACTCATGTCACAGGGGTTTACTGTATAGACTATTTCATCACCCAGCTACTAGGCCTAGTACCCAATAGATATTTTTCTGATTCTCTCCCTCTTCCCAGCTTCCACCCTCAAGTAGGCCCCAGTTTCTGTCATTCCCCTCTTTGTGTTCACACGTTCTCACCAAGCTCGCATATATTACTTTTACTGTTGTATTATGTTTTCTTTCAAATATTTTCAATCCACAGTTGGCTGAATCCATTGATGTGGAACTCAGATACGGAGGGCCAAGTTACTTTTTTCAAGTTCAGGTGCTTGGTTTTTTTTTGAGATGGAGTCTCACCCTGTCGCCCACCCAGGCTGGAGTGCAGTGGCGCAATCTCAGCTCACTGCAAGCTCCGCCTCCCGGGTTCACACCATTCTCCCGCCTCAGCCTCCCCAGTAGCTGGGACTACAGGCGCCCGCCACGACGCCCAGCTCAATTTTTTGTATTTTTAGTAGAGATGGGGTTTCACTGTGTTAGCCAGGATGGTCTCCATCTCCTGACCTCGTGATCCACCCACCTTGGCCTCCCAAAGTGTTGGGATTACAGGCATCAGCCACCACGCCCGGCCAGGTGCTTGAATTCTTTTAGTGGTATCATTTAACGTTTTGTGTTTTTTGTTTTCAAAGAAATCTGGGGTAGCTGGACTCCAAACTCTTGCTAGAAGAAAATGAGCAAAATGGGTTTAAATCAAAAAGAATATGCCTTCATAGTTTTGGTAATTTTTACTACTGTTCCCAGAAACTGAAGATTATGTTTAAAGCCCTGGCTGGGGATGAGCACTTACTTACCTAAACATGTGGTCAACTGCACTTTTGGGATATTGCTAACCTCTGGGTAACATTAAAAACTATCCAAAAGTACCAATTTTCTATGAAAAGGATGTAAAGTTTCGGGAGCTAGTCAGGTTTTCCAGGTTTACTTAGGGAAAAAGTCAAATCCTAAACTCCACCCACCAAAACCAGACGCATATCTTAAAATGGGAACTTATAAAGTATTGCCATAGAAAATGATCAATAGATTCTAGATGCAGAAATAATAAGGTTTGTTCAATACACAACACACTCATTAAGGACTATATCATAGAAAGTAGACATCCTGCTTTCAAAGGTTATTTTTTTTTTTGAGACAGAGTCTCGCTCTGTCGCCCAGGCTGGAGAGCAGTGGTGCGATCTTGGCTCACTGCAACCTCCACCTCTCAGGTTCAAGCAGTTCTCATGCCTCAGCCTCCCGAGTAGCTGGAACTACAGGTGTGCACCACCACACCCAACTAACTTTTGTAATTTTAGTAAATATGAGGTTTTGCCACATTGGCCAGGTTGGTCTCGAATTCCTGGCCTCAAGTGATCCACCTGCCTCGGTTCCCCAAAGTGCTGGAATTATAAGTGTGAGCTACTGCTCCTGGCCACTTTTAAAATTTATATAGCACTGTGTATTGACTTCAGTACAGACTTTTCCCTCCTTGGAAAGTTTATTTAAATTAAAGACTTAAGTGTGTAGCCTTGAATGTTTGCTCTTTAGGAGCTTATTTCTAAGTGCTTGTGGAAGCAGTACTTCTACATTTGAGTAGCTAAACTACATTTCAAATCTCATCCATACTGCATCATATTCTCCTTTAGTCCAGATCTTAGATTTTTTTCATCCTAGTTCTTGCTAGTTTTTTTTAATAAAGGATATGTACTTCACAGGTCACATGGTAGTCATGTTCATGTTTTCAACCATTCCTATACACTCCAAGACAAGACACTATGATCTGAAAACTATGCCCGGAGCCATGACAATCATACAAGTTGAAAACACAGCCATCAAGTTTCCGACTTAGTGCCTCACGTATTAAGATGATTTTTTTTTTTTTTTTTTTTTTTGAGACGGAGTCTTGCTCTGTCGCCCAGGCTGGAGTGCAGTGGCGCGATCTCGGCTCACTGCAAGCTCTGCCTCCCGGGTTCACGCCATTCTCCTGCCTCAGCCTCCCGAGTAGCTGGGACTACAGGCGCCCGCCACCTCGCCCGGCTAGTTTTTTTTTTTTTTTTATTTTTTAGTAGAGACGGGGTTTCACCGTGTTAGCCAGGATGGTCTTGATCTCCTGACCTCGTGATCCGCCCGTCTCGGCCTCCCAAAGTGCTGGGATTACAGGCTTGAGCCACCGCGCCCGGCCAATGATTTTTTTAAACAAACTTAACAGGCCGGACGGATACCCCATTCTCCATGATGTGCTTATTTCACATGCACACCTGTATCAAAACATCTCACATACTCCACAAAGCCTGAAATCCCAGCACTTTGGGATGCCAAGGTGGTGGATCACTAGAGCCCAGGAGTTTGAGAACAGCCTGGGCAACATGGCGAAACCCCATTTACACACACACACACACACACACACCCCCCACACACAAAACGAAACAAATACCTAACCAACAAACAAAACCCTAGCCAGGCATGGTGGTGCATGCCTGTAGTCTCAGTTAGTTGGGAGGCTGAGGCTGTAGTGAGCCATGACTGCACCACTACACACCAGCTCAGTCAACAAAGAGACTATCTCAAAAAACAAACAAACAAACCCCAAACCAAAAAGCCAACAACATTCCTTTCTGATGCGGGATAACATGGTCTCGTCGGGGGAAAGTTTTCACATCTTAATAAATGCAAGTCTTAAATTTCATCAATGCCTTCTCTGTGCCACTGGGAATCTAGAGGTGAACAAGACTTTACAAAGTTCTTGCTCTCACGGAATTAACCACAACCGTGCATTTAATCGAAGTGAAAATGTGGGAATATGTAAGGTAAATAATAAAGGGACACATAGTAAACAACTTAGATAATTTATTAAGTAGAAAATAAAAAGTATGATTCTAACATCTATTTAGAATATGAACAAAATTAGAAACGGTTAAACTACAAGAAAAAAGGCAGAGATACTGAAGTTGGCTTAATGGTTATCCAACACAAACAAGCAAAACCCAAGTTACCTTCATGCAAATAAGCATTAAGGAAAAGAATACGGGAATGTTTACAGAATGTGCCATGGCAAACATTTTTCAAATTTACATAAGAAACTGTACATGAATGAAAAAATAAATTAGGCAATTTACAAGAAATGTTTTACAGATTACAACAGGCTATAACTTAGTTTATTATGAATAAAATTTGTAGCACATCATACATTTTTACATCACAGATTCAGTGTTAAAAGAATTCAGACATGATAAAGCTTAGACTTGACAAGAATAATGTAATAGACAGAATAAGGCAATTTACACTGAAATGGCATGTGGAAGTCAAATTAATCCCCAAATTAAAGGATTCCTTAGACTGGGACATAATAACATCTTCTGAGTATGATTTGGTCAATAACTGGGCATTAAGATAAATGCCATTCAATTTTAGTTAAAAAGTCAGCTTTTAGCTGTAGTTTAAATAAAAAGTAAAAGTACAGTGTACAAAAAAATAATAAAAACCATCTTAATATCACTTACATCCTAATACTATTAATTGTATTCGGGACAAGCAGACTAGGATATTGGTGTTACTTCTATAAAGTTACCTTCTATTTCTAAATGCTGTAAACTAAACTAAAACAGGTTCCACAGAAAAAGGTGGCAAATTCCAAAATGGCTTAATACCTGTGACGACTATTGACTGAGCCAGGTATGACATCGATGAAATTCAGACATACAATATAAAGTTGAGATAATCCCAAATTATTTTACATTATTTATATATACTTTACAAATTATGCAAACATGGAAATGTTTTCTTGGAAAGCTATTGGAACTGTAAGCACTGCGATGTATGAAAGAAAGATGTTTAGAGATACAAAATTTAATAATATCCTACAATTGAATTAGTTGCATATTTATACCATTCAAAATCTTGATTTTAACCTCATTCACTCCTTTGAAAAATACATTCCTCTTTTGTTCTTTTAAACGCAAAATGAGTGGCAGTTGCAGCAAACACACTGAAATTCTACAAGGAAAAAAATTGATTTACCCCAAACGTATCTTTCAGCAGGAACTGTGGTACCTGAAATCCCAGTATCAGCTAATAGTTCGTTTGTTCGTTCATTCATTCATTCATTCATTCATTCATTCATTCATTCATTCATTCATGTTTGAGACAGAGTCTTACTCTGTTGCCCAGGCTGGAGTACAGCGGCATGATCTGCCCTCTGCCTCCCGATTCAAGTGATTCTCCTGCCTCAGCCTCCCGAGTAGCTGGGACTACAGGTGTGTGCCAACAAGCTGGGGTATTTTTTTTATTTTTAGTAGAGACGTGGTTCTTCCCATATCTATCCCCACTCACAATGATCAGAAATAAGAAACAGCTTTTTAAAAAGGGTCACTAAAAAATCCCAAATATATGTAACACAAACAGTCCGACTTAACAATGGTTTGACTTATGGTTTTTCAACTTTATAATGGGGCAAAAGCAATACATATTCAGTAAAAACTGTACTTCAAATTTCATCTTTTGATATTATCCTGGGCTAACGATATGTGGTATCATACTCTTATTTGAGATATTAAATCTTTCATTATAAAATAGGTTTTGTATTAGATGATTTTGCCCAGCTACAGGCCAACATTAAGTGTTCTGAACACATTTAAGGTAGGCTAGGCTAAGCTGGGATATTCAGTAGGTTAGGCGTATTAAATGTATTTTCAACTAACAGTATTTTCAATTTACAATGGGTCTACTGGAACATAACCCTATCATAAGTCAAGGAACATCTGTATTCCAACATTTATGAATAATTTTTTTTTTTGTACAATGAAAAAGTCATAATGCCCATATAATGCTGAAGTTAACATAGTAAAAATTCCAGATCACCTTTACAGATTTAAAAGTACAAACATTTTAATTTACATATAAAACCTTTCATATTACTGGCCATTACAGGCAATGACATATTAAGAGAGAACGCCATTCTACTGGTTTGGTGAGAATCCAATACCTAGTACCTATAAAACATATAACAATAAAAATTATGTAATAACTTAAAATTATATAAGCACTAAATATTAACTCCAAAACATGATACCAAATACCTGAAAAAAAATTAATTTAGTTATCCCAAACACGGCCATGAATGAAGCAACTTTCTCAGGACCCTGAAAACTGACTCATTTTCCATCATAACAAACCAAATAATGTTCAAAGAGGCAAGACCAGTGACCAACACTACTTCTAATACAATACCAAATATGACCTCACATTCACTGGATATACAGGACTAATGCAAATAGTAGTGACTGCTTTAAGAAAACATTTGGGCTGTTTGGAAGTGGAAATTAATTATTCAAAATTTAGATACGTCAGAAAAGCTGGGATGATTCATTTTCACACCACCATTATCGTGAAGGGGCTATCCAAATACTCTTAACAGAAGGAAAGAATTACTCACTTTTTTAGGTCTTCAGTGATTATTACTAGGCTCAGTAGAAACCAGAAGACAATTATTCTCTTAAATATTGACAAGAGGCAGTAATATAAGTAAAACATTATTTTCTGAGATTATCTGATGATTGAAACAAAGTTGGCTGAATTCCTTAGGTATCAGAATAAACATAAATCATTGATACTTCATGGCAGATCACTTTAAGTGAGGTCAGAGTATTATTACAAAAAGACAATATATTTCTAATGTTTTGTTTACACACACCACAAAACAGTTAAATTCAAAATAATGTACACTCATTTTCATTATCCTCTATCAGTTTTCACATGGCTTTAAAAAGTGAAAGAATTTCTAAACTACATTCTCAAATGCAATAGACTAAAATGAATAAAGTGCTCAACAGAAAAAGATACAATGAAATATGAAAAAATTTTGCTTATAATATACAGAGTGGTTATAAAGAACATATGGAAATTACTATCCAGTTAAGCTTTTCATCCAAAAACACAACCTTAAAAATCAAGGCAATATGTAATGGACTACTCTTCGAAGGCAAGAATACTGCTGGAATAAGAGGAAACCCTTTTCACTTTGTGCTACATCATTCTGCTTACAGAAACAATCTTTCAGGAACTGGTATTTACATTATAGCAATCACATGTACACTCAAAGGTAAAAAGAAAAAAAAAATCTCAGAAGTTTTTATAGAGTCTAATATTTAGCAAATAATCTGAACCACTTGAAGGGCTTTCAATTACCAAGTGTATTACAGGCAATAGCACTGACTTTACCCAAACTAAGATACCACCTAATTTCCAACTTATTTAGGGTAGTTGAGCAAGGAACTGCCATGTCAAATTACATGGCAAGTTTACTAATAGACTTAGTCTTTGGAAAAGATGAGCGTAGAACTTAAAAAGCACTAGTTTTAAAAGTCTCTAATTAGGCCGGGCGCGGTGGCTCAAGCCTGTAATCCCAGCACTTTGGGAGGCCGAGACGGGCGGATCACGAGGTCAGGAGATCGAGACCATCCTGGCTAACACGGTGAAACCCCGTCTCTACTAAAAAATACAAAAACTAGCCAGGCGAGGTGGCGGCCGCCTGTAGTCCCAACTACTCGGGAGGCTGAGGCAGGAGAATGGCGTGAACCCAGGAGGCGGAGCTTGCAGTGAGCTGAGATCCGGCCATTGCACTCCAGCCTGGGCAGCAGAGCGAGACTCCGTCTCAAAAAAAAAAAAAAAAAAAAAAAAAAGTCTCTGATTAAAAGGCAATCTTCTCGCAGGGGCAGGGTGGTGGTGATGGGAGATTCTATATCCTGTGTTCTTTGCCTAGCCTCACAGCAAACTGACAGTGCTCCTTGCATTTGAAAAAGTTACCAGATTTTTTAAGAAGGAAAATTAAGCCCAAAAGTTACAAAGATTTTCTGGGTACAGAGGTCTACAATGCATTAAAGTTTCTTTTTAATCCTTAGAAATTGGCCCCTGAAAGTCCGATTTTAGAAATGAAGTCAATGGAATCATTAGATCTGCTTCAGTGAAGTATGTATGTTTGGACTGTTGGGAACTGTGCCCAGTGGACTCATACTATCTCAAATGTGATCTACTGGAAAGATTCAGGTCTCCTAAGAGAACTTGGCATAGTACCATGGTCAGATGGTAATAGACATACATAAGCATGCCATGACCCTAAAGCAACAACACACTTAAACTAGATAATAATTGTTCAGGAAGAACAATCCAACTAGAAAATTGGAGGTCCAGTTGGAGCAACCAGCCTTTGCTACTGCAAACTGAAGAGTGTGGCCACAGTATACCAGAGAATGGGGCCTGGTCCAACTCCAGAGAAGGCCACAAAGACCAAGACAGCCCCACTACAAAGTTCATCCCACCATACTCATCCTTTAATAACAAACAATCATGAGGACAGAACAAAACGCCATCCCTCCAAGACCTATCATATGTAAAGTCCTTCCTGCCCTTTCAACCAGAAACAGAGACTACAGTCAAGAAGATACTAACCACTCCTGCACTAATCTCTAGATTGGCTTCTCAACACCTGCAAATCCTTGAAGATTCTCATTGAGAAACAGAAGACAACATTGATTCCAGAGAGCTACTGAGAGAGCTGGAACATGATGGAAAAGACAGTGGGTTGTTGGTAGCTGGGTATTCTAAAGAGCGCCAGTGTGTTGCTTTTCTTGTACCGTCCTAGCACTCTTATCTCCTGGATGTCCTGGGACACATCCTGAGTCCCCTACAATTGCCGAAGGATCTCATTAGTACTCTTGCTTTCTGTTAATGAGCAAAAACTTATGACTTTCAGGGCAAAATGGAAGGGCTACACTTTATAGGACAGCTGGAAGGATGGTAAAGCCCAGTATCACTGGGCATAGCTCTTCAGACCCCAAGATGATCTCCAGACCAAAGATCTGGATCTCCAGAATACCAACAATGATGCCCAGCTGGGTGAGAGCACTAAAGGTACCCCAAAAGGCAGTAGGCGAGATCTCTCCAATGTACATGGGCACAAAACCTGTGCAGAGTCCACATTACAAGCCAGTAACCAAGTGGCCCAGGATCAGCATTTCAACCAACTCAGCTTTGTTTCAGAATCCCGTAAGGCAACCATTGATAGCCAACAAATTGATGATAAGCATTGGATTGCACCTGCCAAAGTGGTTGACAAAGAGTGCAACAGAAAGGAGTCAATCATATCACCATTGGCGAAGATGGCCACAGACAAGGGCCAGGGGGGAACGAGCAACACCTCAGAGGGAGAGTCTTCTAACCTCTCTTTCAAAGTGTAATTGAGAAAGTCCTGTATGATTGTCTCAGGAGCACTGATGACTCCAATGTTGTAGCCAAACTGAATAGAAGAGGTGGGGTGACCTGGGTCCCCATGGCCCTTATCTAATTCTTTTCAAATATTCAAGAAAAGAGTTAGGAGTGGGATTCCAGAGCCATTTCTTCCAGTCAACAAAACCTTCAAAGTGTCCTTGGCAGCAAGTTTTCAGGTCCTCAGTAATGCTCTAAAACTCACGCATCATTACAGCATCTCTGCGTTCTTGCCTTACCACATTTATCTCAGACCCAAACTTAGTTATTTCTTTTTATTACATCTGAACCATCAAAGCTAAATATTTTATTCTATTATGAATAACAGCAACAAAACCACATTTATCCCAAATAAATGTTACAGGAATCTAATAGATGAGCTGTTTTGAAACTTTATGGGAGTCTGAGGCAATACTGCAGAATTACTACAAGGATCAATGTTTAGTAAACAAAAGCATAATAGCTCCAAAATTTGTAAATCCTTTTACCTGGGAATTTATTCTCTCTTTTGTATTTTTGACAGTGATTACAAAGTTTTTCAGATTTTTATATTGGCAAGTTAACACTGGAGGTCCAATAGTTTAGTGAAGTTGTTTGAGTCTCTTGCTAATCAATGGTTTAGGAAGCAGAGATACTTGGGGATAAAACTGACTTCTATACATTACCAGTAAATCTAGATGTACTTTGTTTAAAGAGCTTAAAAAACTGTTTACATTACACAAGGTAAGTATCACTACGGGTTTTTTTTTTTTTTTTTTTTTTTACAAACCACAGTTTTACTTAACAGAGTTTTCAGTAGACTCAGAGATGCATGATAAAGACATTTCCCCATGTAGTTTTCGAATTTTACACTCAAGTTCTTACATTTGATTATAGGCATGAGCCACTGCACCCAGCCTCAAGTGTTTCAAATTCAGTTTTCTTCACCTAAAGACATGAATGTATGAATTATAAGAGTGGTTATTTAGGAGGAAAAGCATGTAAAGGTAAGTTTTTAGAATTTAGACTGAAACTTTGAATTCATGTCAGTCAGTAGCCATTTTAAAACCCTACAATGACTTCGTATTCTTTGCTTTAATGCTTCCATTGTAGTGACTAAATATTTGAGCCAAAATTCCATTAGTTCAATTTATTTTAAAAGTTTCTGATTTGTGTATCTGTACAGGTAAGAATCTTAATTGAATGATAGTAACTACAAGTTTTATACCTGTGGCAAATACTGTATTAGCATCTATAGATTTAGGGCAATCTTGAAGGAAAAATAGAATGGTCAGAGTCTAAGTTATTTCATCACTGTACTTTGGTTAATGTGGAACTATGATTCATATATTTTGTCCTTTCAAACTGAAATTACCTGCTAAAGTGCACGTAAAGTGAGCAACCATCTCACCACTGTGGCTCTTAGCTTTTCCCATATGTAGTCTAGAATTACTGGAATAATAAGAACACAAAATCATAATGAAGGCTGACAAAGATTATAATTTTTTATTAAGATCTCAAGTAACTCCCTGTAAGCTTACTGTGGTAAATAGATTTGGTTCTAATACCACAATGCCTCAAAGCTCTATGTTCTTAACGGTGCTGTCTTAGTAGAAATAAAACGTGAACCATGTGTGATTTTATCTTTTCTAGTAAGCACATTAAAAAAAACTGGAAACAGACGATTCTTTTTTTTTTTTTTTTTTTTGAGATAAGAATCTCACTCTGTTGCCCAGGCTGGAGTGCAGTGGCACAATCTCAGCTCACTGCAGCCTCCGCCTCCTGGGTTCAAGCGATTCTTCTGCCTCAGCCTTCCGAGTAGCTGGGACTACAGGTGTACACCACCACGCCTGGCTAATTTTTGTATTTTTAGTAGAAACAGGGTTTTGCCATGCTGGCCAGGCTGGTCTCGAACTCCTGACCTCAGATGACCCACCCATCTTGGCCTCTCAAAGTGCTGGGATTACAGGTGTGAGCCACCACGCCCAGCTAAGATTCATTTTAATTGTATATTTTTCTTTAACCCAACATTTCCAATGTTAACATTTCAACATGTAATCAATACAAAAAATTAGGAGATATTTAACCTTTTATTGTCCCTAGTCTTCAAAAACCAGTGTATATTTTACACTTAAGAGCACATTTCGGCCGGGCGCGGTGGCTCAAGCCTGTAATCCCAGCACTTTGGGAGGCCGAGACGGGTGGATCACGAGGTCAGGAGATCAAGAGCATCCTGGCTAACAAGGTGAAACCCCATCTCAACTAAAAAATACAAAAAATAACTAGCCGGGCGAGGTGGCGGGCGCCTGTAGTCCCAGCTACTCGGGAGGCTGAGGCAGGAGAATGGCGTAAACCCGGGAGGCGGAGCTTGCAGTGAGCTGAGATCCGGCCACTGCATCCCAGCCTGGGCGACAGAGCGAGACTCCCTCTCAAAAAAAAAAAAAAAAAAAAAAGCACATTTCAATTCAGACTAACCACATTTCAAATGCTCAACAGCTACATATGGGTAGTAAGCTGCTGTACTGGACAGTGTGGTTCTAGAACTATCTCTTACAAATGAACACTATCAGTGTCCTTGAAAAACTTTCTTATTTGAGCTAGTTTATTTTATACAAACAAACAATTTATTATTATTCCTGAAAGATCTCATATTGGCATCCTGCCATTTCACTGTAGTGCCTATCATTTTTCCATTGATACTGATAAAGTTGCCCAAGACACATCTTCCCACATAGAGGAAGTAAGAGGAAAAAAACCCTTTTGGATAGAATCTATTAAAACTCATCCCACTATTCCTCTGTACATAAGTAACACTGCGTCTGCTGAGTGGAATTTGCATTCGGAACTTCAAAATTCAGACTCATCTACCTTTCCAAGTTAGACAGCTGGGGAAAGAACTTCCTAAATCTTAAGGATGAGGGTAGAGGGCTCAACCCCACTCCAGATTCAGGCAAGGGGAATAGGAAAGAGTGAGATCAGAGCATGGTGGCCTCTTGCGGGGGTTCCTTTGATGGGGGCTGTGGGGGAGTGGAAGGCATTATTTTAAGGGGATAAGAAGCAAATGGAAGACTTGCTCCAACTCTAGAGTTTTCATAGAGTTAGAGGAGGTGAAGGGATTTATTCCTGCCATGGATCATGGGCGCTTCTATAATCAACTCCTGGTTTTGCACTATTTTTATAAATGGAGATTGGACCTTGGTGACAGCCTCTCTTCCCCTTTTCCTATGTTGCTCAATTTCCTTTCCCTCCTAGGTTCTTACTCATTTCAAACCCTTGCCAGTAACAGTATTTTAGTTATCAGTTCTCACCATTCCCTCTGGTGGTTGAGCCTTTGGATAAAAATCCACATGGCTATGGAGTGAGTTTTGTTGGAAAAGGTGACCTTTCTCTAACTGCACCTCTATTTCTGGCTCCTCAAACGGCGAAGGGTGATAATAAGGCATGGTAGAGGTTTTCCCATTTTTCAGTGACTAGATTGTGAATATTTCCAAATGATTTTTCTATTATTAATGTTACTGTGGTTGTTTTAAAATAAAAGCTCCTAATGTACATATGATCAAAACAAACAAACAAAAAAGAGCACAGTGAACTCAAATCATATTCCATTACAATAGTCCCAGGACTTCATTAGACCGACTCCCAGTAATTAAGCTTCCAATCTTAAAATGTTAAACATTTCAACGTGTACTGACTAATTCCTGTAAAATACAGAAAGTGCAACATCACCAAATGTGCATTTCCCAGGATTCATTTTAGAATTCTCATGAAAATTTAATAATAGTATTTCAGTTAATTATGGCATTTGAGAAAAGACACTTATGGGGAAAGATCACATACATGCTTTGGGTGATATGTTAAAAAAAAAAAAAAAAACCTACAATAATTAGTAGTATTGCCTTAACATTTCTAAAATCACATAAAAATGATCATCTTTGATTGCCATTTCAATAATTTTGGATACAGGGTATGTTATTTTCTGCTCACTAGTAATCAAAACATAAAACAGACTTGTAACAAATATTCAGAGTCGATTATTTTCATAAGCTAAACATTTCCGAGACTTTAAGATTTGTGTTTGAGCATACAGTACTGCAATGTTGGCTACATAAAATTTAAAAATCTTTTTAAGAGGAAGCTCAATAATCAGAGGCTGTATTGCATTTAAGGATTTAACACTGGCTATATACAAAAGGGAAAGCATTTCAATGAGAAATACTTCACGTTACCAAGTTCTCTCCTTTAATATGGCAACATTCAGCAGCTTATGCTACTCTTCTATCCTTTGGTTCCCAGTGACAAACAATGCAGTAATAATGCCTCTGGTTTTAGTTCCTCTTGGACGACATTTATTAGCAGAGAGAGAGACCTGATGCTTTAGCTGAAATTTGGCAGCCCAAGAAGTGCACCAACTGCTCCAAAGTATCCCTGTATAATTTAAAAATAACTGTTATGTAGTGCAGCTTTTAAATTAGCATATAATATTAACCACTTGAGAACACACAACTATGCACAATCTATCTGTTTAATAATATTTGGAAACCTACCAATTTCTGTGTTGTTAGCTATTATAAAAAATCTTCTGAATCTGTATTCTTGATATCTACACAGCTTTGAAATATGTATTTTTATTTATTATTATTATTTTTAGAGACATGGTCTCACTATTTTGCACAGGCTGGCCTTGAATTCCTGGGCTCAAGTGGTCCTCCCATCTCAGCCTCTTTAGCTGGGACTATAGGCTCACACTGAAATATGTATTCTAAAAGTGTGGCCTTTAGACACTAAAGCTTCCAGGACTGTAATAGCAATTCTGCACCCTCTCCCCTTTACTTAATAAACAAACTAACTTCCTCTGGCTGTGCCTGACACTCACACGGCACGCCATGTGGAACTGCACAAGGGCACACCATTCTGATTTGTATTGTGTGAGCAGTGACAATGAGACAGGGAAGCTTTTAAGAGCAGAATAATTTGAATCTGTGTTACTAATTTGTAATGATACAGCCATTTGACTTTGATCACAAAATGATTCAAGTTAAGTTAATCCAAAACATTATGTGGACTGATAATTGCTCAGATCAGAATTTAACTGCATGTAGTAAATGAATACTAAAAAATTTGGGGGTGCTTAGCAGGTTATTATAATTCTCTTCCCCACAACTGAAACTGAAGTGAAGGAACCAATATTCTACCTAAGGCTGGGCACGGTGGTTCACACCTCCAAAGGATTGCTTGAGGCCAGGAGTTCCAGACCAGCCTGGGCAACAAAGACAGATTCTGTCTCTACAAAAAATATTAATAAAAATAAATTAGCTGGGCATAGTGGTGCATGCCTGTGGTCCCAGCTACTTGGGAGGCTGAGGTGGGAGGATTGCTGAGCCTAGGAGGAAGAGGCTGCAGTAAGCCATCATCGTGCCACTGAACTCAAGCCTAAGTGACAGAGCAAGACCCTGTCTCTTAAAAAACATGCTATTAAAATTCACAAAAAACATTTTCCTACCATACCTCATGTTCTAGAAACAATGCTTTTAGTTGACCTTTTGACCAATAATCCAGTGCATACGCCAGAAGTTTCATTGAGAGGGTATTGACACGTAAAAAGTTTCCAACAAAGACAACTCTGTTTATTTTCTAAAAGAAAAGAACAAAGAAAAAACTTGTAAAAATAATTAACACATTTTACAATATAAAAGGTTTCAAAATATTTATTTAAAGATGTAAACAACAACTACCCTTTATCAGTATAATACCTACTACATTCCTGGCATATAGCTCTATAATCCTGAGTATTTAAAAATTAGTTCTGCACACATCATCCAAAATCCACAAAACGTATAACACCAAGAGAGAACCCTAAACTATGGACTTTGGGTGATGATGATGTGTGCACAGGGTGATTGACTGTAACACATGATCACTCTACTGTGGGATGTTGAGGATGGAGGGCTGTGTGTATATATATGGAAGGTGGTATATGGGAACTCACTGAGCTTTCCACCTAATTTTACGTGAAACTAACACTGATCTAAAAAATAAAGTCTACTTTTAAAAAAAGGTTCTAGAAAGACTCCTAGCAGATGATTTCAGGTAAGACTTGTTTTTGAAAATGGACAATAAATAGCCCCCTTACAAAGTCATTTGGAGACATATTATTGATGTGATTAAAAAAAAAAAAATCAAAACATGGTAAGTACTATGAAATGCATTTATGATAAGTAGCAAATTTGGCCCATATATTGCACATTATTGATGTGATTTAAAAAAAAATCAAAACATGGTAAGTACTATAAAATGCATTTAGAATAAGTAGCAAACTTGGCCCATATATTGCAATGCATGTTGAACAATGACATGCAACTGTGGATTCTATAGAATTGGAGAGTAATACTGACTGGGGCACTGGCACGTGCATTCCTCTAGGATTCTAGCATTCTTTCTCCATCCCCTGCCTGATTAATCAAATCATTCTCTCTCTGCAAAGATTCCACACTAATTTGGTTTCTTAGATATCTCTATTAGGAAATCTTAGGGGAACTGGTGTTTGAATCACCAGAAAACTTATTTCGACTCTCACAATATACTGACTTTTGAGTAGAAATCTTTGTACATAAGTTGGGATACTATAAACCATGGCCTAAATCATTGTTAACTCAATTGGTCAGTGGAAATTTAGACATAAAGGGCTAAGAATAAAGGTTTCAAATTGTTGTCAGCCCCCAACATGGCCTACTAGTAACTCCATCAACCAACTAACACTTAAGTTTCTTAAGTTATTAAAAAACTGATGAGATCAAGTTCTGGATTTAAATATAGAATAATTCAGAGGATTTGCATAGTTGTTCTCTCTGCTGGAAGCTTTCTCCCCAAAATGTCTACGTGTACAGTTTCCCCCTCACCTCCTTCAAATCTCTGCCTAAGAATCACATTTTCAAGAAAGCTTTCCTTTAGCCACTCAATTACTTGGCAATTTGTCCTCTACCACTCTCTGCCCTATTCCCAATCCTCTTTATCCTGTTTGATGGTTTCTTTTTAAAAAAATAGCATTCATCACCTAATACACACTAAACAATTTACTTAATATGTCACCAGAATGAATGCAAGCTCCACAAAGCCAGATCTTTGTTTTCTTCGTTAATATATTCCAAATACCCAGAACAATGTCTGGCATCTGGTAATCAATAAATATTTACTCAATGAATAAATGAATGAATGAATGAACAAATGAAGGCTTCCTTCAAAAAGCATATTTCCCAATCCATTTAAAGTATTTGATATTTATAAAAATTAAATGGGCAAATATATCTATTATTATATAAGGAAGCTAGAATTAAATATATATATTCTTTTCCAAACAAAGAATCCCAACTATATGGTCAATCTAACAGTATATGCTTTTCACATTTTTCTTGGAACAATAAACACCACTCAAATATCATGAAGAACAGGTCTCAATGCCTTCATAGCCCTGTACAATGCTGCTTGATCCATATGCAACAAGGCAGCACTGTAAAGAAGCCGAGGGCAGTAAGAAAACTTCCAAGAATTTCACTAATCAAATGCAACATTAAGCACTGGTGGTATAGTGGTGAGCATAGCTGCCTTCCAAATGCAACATAAGACTAAAAAAAAAATGCTTTCACAAAATAGTTACCTCAAAATATCTTATGCTTAGAATTTTCTTTTACATCCTCAAGGGATTTAGGTTGTGTTTTTCTGAAAAAAAATTCTGAATAAATTTCTCCTATTTCAATTTGAATTATCTGCTACTTTCTTTAAAGGTAATATAGCAATTGGGTACATAACATATATACCTAATGAGTCTTGGCGTTTAATGGGCTACATCTCAATCCCAGAGGCCTCCTTAGGGAAAGTGAAGAAGCCCTGCTAGGTGTATATAGGACTCCAATTCACATTTTTGATAATTTGAGTTTTGCAGTTTTTTTTTTTTTTACCTCATTAACAGCACACATTCGTGCCACAGAACCAATGTTATTGGTGATAGTAACTAAAGTAGCTCTTGCCAGATCTTCTTTACTAACAGATTCTCGCTTCTCCTTATAAATCATATTCCCAAAACTGCAGAAAAATGAAAAATAAAGTCAAATCTGCTGAAAACAAGCAACATTTTACATATTAACAGATATATCTATAACTTGGATATTTTTTATAAAATTAGGACCAAAAAGTAGAAACACATAGGGATAAGATCAAAACAACCTAACAAAATAAATCTATGCAAGAGTAAAGTAATACCTTTCAAAGAATTAAGGTTAAAATGACAAAAAAAAAAAAAGCATAGTTATTGTAAGAAAGCAAAGATTACCAAAATATCTTCATTTTTAAACCTGATTCAAAACAAATTAACAAAGTCAAAATTACAAAATGTTTCCAAAAGTATCTCAGCTTTAACTTCAAATTCTTTTTCATTCAGTCACAAGAAACATTTATGACATACCAAGCTTTGTGCTGGAGACACAGATAGTCCCTCAAACAGAGAATTAGTCTAGTGCAGCACTGTCCAATAGAAATAAAATACGAGTAATATATAATTTCATATATGTTCTATTAGCCACATTAAAAAGGTAAAAATAAACGTGAAATTAATTTTCATTGTACATTTCATTTAAGCCAATATATCCAAATATCGTCATTTCAACATGTGGCACTCAAATGCCAAGTGCCTGATGTGACTAGAGGCTACCATAATGGACAATGCAGGCCTAGATACAAAAGACAGCAAGAGAAGCGCTAACAGTAACAGGAAAAACAACAAACAAAGGCTAACCTCGGAAATACAAAGAAAAAAGTATCTTTTATTAAGTGGTAAGAGAAAAAAGTTAAGAAGGTATGAGGCAGGGCTTTTCAAAGCAAAGGGACCAGAAAAAGCCAGAGAAAAAGAGAAGGAAAATCTTAGGCAGAGGCAACTAAAGGTTAAAGGCACACAGAAATGAGAAATGAAAACATCTATGAAATCACAAGATATTTGGTCAGAGTGAAGCGTCTATGTGAGGGAGAGGCAAGATATATTATTGAAGAGTGAGACAAAGTCCACTATCAAAGGACACTGGATTCCCTGACAAAGAACTTGGGGCGCACAAGCAACAACGGTTAGGAAGCATAATGAGAGACAAGACTGATAAATAACAGAACAGTAAATTTAAAATATTTAGGAATCAATTTAAAAAGCTATGTATGGACATATTTGGAGAGGCCTTTTTAAATGTGTGAAAGGCACAAAAGTAGCCTTAAACAGATAAGCTAAGTTCTTCAACAGCAAGACTCACTATAAAGATATCATCTGTCCAAGTTAATATATAAACTTACTGAGATTCCAAAAAAACTTTTTGTAATAGAGAAAATGCTTGCCAAGTTCATACAGAATATCAAGCAAAGAAGTGAAACTAGCCCTTCTAGAGATTAAAACATACTTTTTATGCCTCTATAAAGCTGAAAGTATAATGCTGGTACATCAACAGAATGAAAAGCCAGCATATGTAAAAAAGCCATCTCAAATCAGTGAAATAAAGATGGACATTAGGGCCTTCTGGAAAAAAAAAAAAAAAAACCCTGAAATATGAAAGCATGATCTGTAACTTACAAAATACCCTAAGATAAACTGTAAGTAAATCAAAGATTTAAGTATAAAAATACCACCATTAACATATTAGAAGAAAACAAGGGTTTATTCCTTTATGTATTTGGAATGTAGAAGACTTACTTACTATGAATCAATATCCAGAAGCCATAAAAGAAAAGACTGATAAATTCAACTGTATAACAATCGAGCAGAAAAGTAGAACATGAACAACAACTCACAGAAAATAAAATATGCAAGGCTCTTAACCCCAGTGTTGGTAGGAGAAATGTAAATTAAAAGTACATTAAGGGCCAGGCACAGTGGCTCAGGCCTGTAATCCCAGCACTTTGGAAGGCCGGGGCGGGTGGATCACCTGAGGTCAGGAGTTCAAGACCAGCCTGGCCAACATGGTGAAACCCCGTCTCAACTAAAAATACAAAAAAATTAGCTGGGCGTGGGGGCGGGCGCCTGTAATCCCAGCTACTTCGGGAGGCTGAGGCAGGAGAATCACTTGAACCTGGGAGGCAGAGGTTGCAGTGTGCCAAGATGGTGCCATTGCACTCCAGCCTGGGTGACAAGAGTGAAACTCTGCCTAAAATAAAATAAAATAAAATGAAATAAAATAACATTAAGATACCATTTCTCCACCAGATGGAGAAATGCAAAAGTCAGCACTCTACTGGTGAAACAGGCACTTTCATTTACTGCTAGTGAGAGTGAAAAACAGTACCGCTCCTTTGCATAGTTAACAGTATCTCAAAAATGCATTTGCAATCCAACTTTTGGGAATTTATCCTACACATGTATAACATAAGGACAACAACATGTAAAGATTTCTAGGCTATATGGATACTTTAGAGTATATATACTATGCCATATAATGGTAAATTACCTTTTGTATATGGGGAGAAAAGTAAGAATATGTATTGGTATGTGCATCGAGAAACAATGGAAGGACACTCAAAAATTAAAAAAGAAAAGTTTCCTACAAGGTGCACTCAGGGTAGACTTCTTAAAATGTATACTTAATTTTTAAATGACATCTATGTTCAAAACTTGGAACCTAAAATGGGTAAGAGAAAGCACCCTTACAACTTTCTGTTATACTGCTTTCCAAAAACGTAAGCAACTTTAATTAAGTTCCGTAACTTAAATAACACAAATGTTAAACTTACCTAGATGCTACAGCCCAACCTGGCAAACCAAATCTTTCGTAATCTCCTCCATAAATATCACGGACCAGCTTGTCAGCTTGTGTGCTATCACCTTTGGATGCCATTTCAAGAGCCTCTTCAAAACTTTCACAGCCAGTCAATAAACTGCATAAACCCAGAAAGGTACCCCCTCCAAGGCTAAAGAAAATAAAGAAACTTGCTAAGTTGCATTTATACATTGTATTCTTTCTCTAAAGTAAAAGGGTGGATCATTCATGTATTCAATAAACACACAGAAAAAACCCATGACTAACGCTAAGTGCTGAAATAACATAATGAAGGCAACAAAAATTGTTTAGTAAAACCAAACTTGTTAGATCAAAGAATAAACCAAAGGAAAAAAAAAATCACTTGGTGGAAATAAGAGGAAAGACCTCTTAAATATCTCCCAAAGTCTTCAGCTAATACCTTACACTCTGTAGTTACCAAAAATAAATTTTTGTGTGTGCATTAAAAAGGAATAAATGTTAAAAATCAGTACCATATTAATTACAAAGAGAAAATCTGTAATTTTTCTTTTGAGACAGGGTCTCACTCTGTCCCCTCAGGCTAGAGTGCAGTGACCATGATCATAGCTTACTGCATCCTTGAACTCCTGGGCTCAAGCAATCTTCCTGTTCCAGCCTCCGCAGCGGCTAGACTACAGATGCACACTACCACACTGGACTAATACATATGTATATATTTTTGCAGAGATGGGGGTCTCACTATGTTTCCCAGGCTGGTCTTGAACTCCTGGTCTCAAGCAATCCTCCACTATGGTCTCCCAAACTGTGAGAATGACAGGCATGAACTACCATGCCCAGCTTTGTAATTTTAAATGGTTTCCAAGAAATGATTTTGGGAAAGGCGTATTTACTTGGTCTGACATGGATGAAATCAATTCAATGTGATCCATTAACATTTAACATGACCTACACATAAATACAATGAGTAAATTTATGTCCAGCTGGCCAACACGTCAATTACAGAAATTTATTTGCTTCTATTATTCTTCTGGATATGCTCACAGAATGAAATCATATCTAATTCCTAAACTCTAAACCTTTGCTCCCTAGTCTCACCTAAATTTCCAGCAAGTTCTACCCCTGAATCACTGTTGGATTTAGTTAACAGACTGAACTTCTTTTAGAGTTAACCAAAGAAGGTAATAGTAGTGTATGATTCTTTGGCATAGAGAATTACAACAGATGTGAACTTTTAACCACTATAAAAATAAAGTACTAATTAAATATAAGTATAATTTAAACAGAATTACTACTTTAAAATTAAAATGAGTTTTTCCACAAATCAATCTAAAGTATCCCAAAATCTTTCTTCCTTAAACAGGAATCTTCACCTCTCTGTAAAAGTTGATAAAATACATAAAAGAATCATGAGTTTTAAATCTTATTTCTCATTCGTATTTCAGGTATCACAGAAAAGTATGTGGGCTATTTGGGAACATTAATGTTATCACAAAAAGAAATCACATTAATTCATCCTATAAGAATAAATTACAATGTTCCCCAATACTGCAGTTTAAATGCTCATCTATTCAGCACGTTGCAAGCTAGAGGTTTACATACATTAATATCTATTAAAAAGTGAAAAAATAGGTAAAGAAGAAAAATGCTTTGGAAAAAAGAACAAAATATAAACATAGTAAAGTTTTAAAATCAATAGAACACTGTTGCCTCCAAGTAAATGCTCTTCCGTTAAATTCTAGAAAAAAACATTACCAGACTCATTCTAGATAAAAATTCACTTTTACTATAATGGAAATTTTGATCCCAACTGATGCTGACTAATAAACATTTAATAATTTCAGTTTGAGTCTTGACATACATATCCTATAAAAATACATTATCTGTTGGCTGGGAGCGGTGGCTCATGCCTGTAATGCCAGCACTTTGGGAGGCTGAGACAGGCAGATTGCTTGAGCTCAGAAGTTCGAGACCAGCCCGGGAAACATGGCACCCTCTTTCACACACACACACACACAAATACATGTTTGCTGTTGTGCAAAAACATGCTCTTTTACTGGTGAAAATGGCATTATTATACTGATTTCATAACTTCTGTGTATAAAACAATGTGAACGCAGCAATACAACCAAAAAGGTCACTACCTTGTCCCAGTCACTCGTTTATAGTTGTCTTTGGAATGGACTGCTAAAATACTGACTCCTGAGCCAATGTTCACTACAAGCAGTGGATAGGGATCATCCAGGTTAAAAGGCATCTTTTGGCATCGCTCAGGTTCTGAGGCATTAGCAAAATAATAGCACTCGGCTTGTCCATTGAAACTGACAGAGTCTATATACAGCAAGCCCTTTACAAGGCAGTCAAGTTCATCCAGTTTGTGCAGGTGGAGGTTTCCAATCTGTTAAAAAAACAACAACAAAACAAAAAAGGATGACGTTCAAAAACACTCGCCTCAACTAAATGATTTTCCTGTATTACTTTACAAAAATTAAAAATAATCTATGACCCCACATTTTCATTTTGTTTCATGTCAAAATCTCTTTAGGGATTTCACCTAGTCCACTGGTCCTCAGTGAGGGTGGTATCACCTCACTGCTAGCTTTCTAAATGATGGGGAGGAAGGAAGAACCAAGCTGACATTTAGTGGGCAGGGACTTGTGATGTTAGACATCTTTAATAGGTGGGACATTTCTGCAAACCAAAGAATTATCCCATCTATGCATTATCTTTGAGTGTTCTGCCAGTCGTTTTTATAGTGGCAGTAGGAAAATTATTTATAATTATCTGAGGCTAGAGAAGAACAAAGTTATTTTACCTGTCAGTGTATATAAATACAAAAGTATTTGTCCCATGGATTTATTTATTTATTTATTTATTTATGTGGGGAAAAGAAAGAGATCAGCCTGTTACTGCGTCTATATAGAAAGAAGTAGACATAAGAGACTCCATTTTGTTCTGTATTTGAGATGCTGTTAATCTGTGACCCTACCCCCAACCTTGCCCTTGCAAGAGACATGTGCTGTGGTAACTCAAGGTTGAATGGATTTTGGGCGTGCAGGGTGTGTCTTTGTTCCTAGAAAAGCTAGGTATTGTCCAAGGTTTATCCCCATGTGATAGGATGAAACAATGCTGCTAAAAGGTTTATCTCTAGGCACAGGATTTTCCTTTAAACTAATTCATGTCACAGAGATCCTTGTTCTTATGTCTTACTGCTGATTTCCTCCCTAAAAACGATCCTATTGTCCTGCCACTCCCTTATCTTTAAGATGGTAAAGATAATTATCTATAAATACTAAGGGAACTCAGAGACCGGTGCCGGCGTGGGTCCTCTGTAAGCTGAGTGCCGGTCCCCTGGGCCCCCGCTTTTCTCTATACTTTGTCTCTGTGTCTTATTTCTTTTCTCAAGTCTCTCGTTCCACCTAACGAGAAACACCCACAGGTGTGGAGGGGCAGGCCACCCCTTCATATTTATTTTTGAGATGGAGTCTAGCTCAGTCACTCAGGCTGTAGTACAGTGGCATGATCTCGGCTCACTGCAACCTCCACCTCGCGGGTCCAAGCGATTCTCCACCTCAGCCTCTCGAGTAGCTGGGATTACAGGTGCCTGCCACCATGCCTGGCTAATTTTTGCATTTTTAGTAGAAATGAGGTTTCACCATATTGACCAGGCTGGTCTCCAGCTCCTGATCTCAGGTGATCTGCCCACCTTGGTTTCCCAAAGTGCTGGGATTACAGACGTGAGCCACTGCACCCAACCCACATAGTTTTAAATATATACTATATTTGCTAGGAAACGAACCACCATATAAAGCAAGGGAATATTGTACTTCTTACTGTTTGGAATTTTACCAAGTGTTTGTTTAGCATGCTGGAGGGTCATGTCAACAACAGCAATGCCATTTATGGTATCTGATTTTCCAATAGAACATACTGTATCAATCTGGCATGTGTAGCTTTGGTATTCATGATCAATCTAGGCATAGGTGCAAGCATATAACTACTTCATGATGTCCTCTGGAATGATCATACTGTTTGTTAATCTATCCACTGACAGGTTAACTTCTGATTAATCACTGATACCTTAATCTCCTGTCTTTATATTATAGTTTGAGTACTAGTTTGAAATTATTAAATTCATCATTTCAGGTTAGTAAAAAGTGTATTATAAGACATTTGTTATAAAATATTGCAGCTTAGATATCAGTTCCTCTGGGAACCTCTTCAACTCTCTAGCTGTTGTTACTCCTCTGTGTTCCCAAGGCACCTCTTTTCATACAGTACTATAGATCGTTACCTCAAATTATAAGGGTCTCACTTCTATGAGCCATTTAAGTTATTTATATGCCTTTTGAGACAGGGTCTCATTGTCACCCAGGCTGGAGTGCAATGGCTCAATCACAGCTCACTGCAGCCTCAATCTCAAGAGCTCAAGCAATCCTCCCACTTCAGCCTCTTGAGTGGCTGGGACTACAAGCACAGGCCACTATGCCAAGCTAATTTTTTTTTTTTTTAGATGGAGTCTCGCTCTGTCGCCCAGGCTGGAGTGCAGTGGCATGATCTTAGTTCACTGCAAGCTCTGCCTCCCGAGTTCATGCCATTCTCCTGCCTCAGCCTCCTGAGTAGCTGGGACTACAGGTGTGCGCCACCACACCTGGCTAATTTTTTGTATTTTTAGTAGAGACAGGGTTTCACTGTGTTAGCCAGGATGGCCTCCATCTCCTGACCTCATGATCCGCCCTCCTCGCCCTCCCAAAGTGCTGGGATTACAGGCATGAGCCACCGCGCCCGGTCCAAGCTAATTTTTTTATTTTTTGTAGAGACAGGGTCCTGCTATGTTGCCCAGGCTGGTCTCAAACTCCTAGCCTCAAGTGATCCTTCCACATCAGCCTTTATATTCCATTAACAGTATTTTCTTACGATTTTGAGAAATTAAATTATTCACATTTACATTTTCAAGAAAAACAAATTTCAGTGGTATTCCTAAATAGAGCCACGCTTTATTCTAATAGAAAAGACTAGAAGCCTGGCAAACTACTCTTTGAACTGTCATTCTAATGGAAAAGACTAGAAGATGGCAAACTGCTAACAGCACATAACTCAAACCAATACTCATAGTTCTCCTGCCATATCCATTCAAATCACCCCATCTGACACAGGAACATGGCAGGATTGACAGTGTAAAAACAGGAAAAAAAAGGGTAACAGATTTTCATTCAGGTGTCTATTATACTAACCAAAAGACACTGGTTTCCAAACTTAGGGTTTGGGAAGGAGATGGCCCTGGAAGATTAATATTATTTGAATAAGCAATATTCCAAAAACCATGTAAATGTAGGACAATAGTGAAAATAATTCAAGTTTCATTTATATCTGGCTTTGTACACTGCCAAATTCATTAAAGTCCCCAAATTCCCTTTTTATTATAGCTTTGTAGTACAGCCCTAAACAAGTTTTACCAAATATTATGTGCAACAACATGGCTAAATCTGGGCAATTTTTAGTTACCCCAAATAAGTGTTTAAAACGCCCTAAGTGAAAGGCAATCACGGATACATATTTCCCACTGCATGTGCAGGGAGAATTAAAGAACATGCTAGATGGAAACCTACTCTCATATTTAAAAACGAACACGTATCAATTTTCAGTTTTGAGTAAAAGATACCTACTGTGCGAAAATCTTTTTCAAACTTGTAAGCACCACCTCCTGTAGCACATAGCACCGTCTGCAATGTTGAGAAGTTTTTATCTCTTCCCATTTGGATAAAAGTAGGCAGGTCCTGGGTTGGAAACCTGATAAAGTGCAAGTTCCCTCTTCGGCCAAAAAGTGTTAAATCCTTCAGTTCAAGGTGTACATCCCGAATGCCGGTGGATCCATATGCTACATTAGAAGTCAAATATTTCCGAATACTTTTTAAACTCTCAACTTCTTCTTGTTCTTCCTCTGCTGTGATATCAATAGGTTCAAAGTATGAGAGTTTTACTAGAGTTCCCCCAATGTCCATGCCAAACCATGGGAAAGCTATGGGAGGAAGAAAAAAAATTTTTTTTATATATATATATATATCCATTTTAGAAACACAAATTAGAAACTAGTTAATTAGTCACAAACTTCATTTACTCTGAGTCATGCATTCATGCAATAATACGTATTGGGTAAGACACATGTTCCACGTGGAACTCACCTTTTTCCCTTCAAAGTTTCATTAATATATTTTCTAAAAACATATAGGGTGCTTAGAGTTGACCCAGGATCTTTTCATTCCTGGCCTGGTAGGCACTCCTTTTCAGTTACTATATACTTACCATGTGCTCCAGGGATGAGAAAAAATTCAGATCATTTTTTTTTCCCCCAATAAATAGGTCATCACTAAGGGCATGAAAATCTTTGTTTCTATAAACATTTTAATACAGTAAAACTGGCCTATAATCACTTCAAGTAACCCAGGAGAAAAGCATCTCCTGAAAAAGCAATTCCTGCCAGGTATGGTGCTTATACCTGAAATCCCAATACTTTGGGAGGCTGAGGTGGGGGGCATTGCTTGAGGACAGGAGTTTGAAACCAGCCTTGGCAATATAACAAGATCCTATCTCTGCAAAAAATTTAAACATTAGCTGGGCGTGGCAGCATGCACCTGTAGTCCCAGTAACGGGAGGCTGAGGCTGCAGTGAGCCATGTTTGCACCACACTACAGATTAGGTAACAGAGTGAGATCCTGTCATAAACAAACCCAAAAAGCAATTCCCTTCAGTAAATAATCATTATCTCCTCTACACCAGGAAACAGGAATGCAAATGAATAAGATAAAATACCTGCCCTGAAGGAGTGCTCAATGTAGCAGGGGAATATAAATAAAACACATTAAGAGGCATAGGTCAATACAGTTAAGGAACTAGAAAAAGGGGGAAGTCTGAGGAAACAGAGGACCTTGCACACTTAGCTAAAGAGCTTAGACTTGAACCTCTTAGACAATGGGAACACTACTGATGTTCTAAGTAAGAGAGTGGCACAGTCTACCTTCAAATTAGAAAGCGAACAAACTTTCTACTTTGGCAGTGTACAGGATGATATAAATGAGCTGCTTAAGATGTGCCTGTAAAGTAAGGCCAGCAATAGAGGCCATCTTAAGTAACACCCTCTTGAAAAAAATGGTATAGACCATTTACAAAAACCGTATCATTTAAAAACAGATTCCTGACCTCTTACCTCAGAGGCACTGGACAATAATCTTGAAGAGTGAGATATGGGATGCTGTTAAAAATTATATACTGCATATATTCGGAAGATTATACTATAGTCAGATCTAAATGGCATTTGAAAATCACTGGCTTTGGTCACCTGATTCCTTCAGGCTATGACATTCAGTTTTACAACGTGATTTCCTTATATTTATTGGCCATAATCCTCACACAGATACAAAGGAGTATTTTACAATTGTTCCCAAGGCTGGAAGGAAAGTCAGTATTATAATATTAAGAATTACAAAATTCAAATTTTTAGAATTAGTTTAAAACACAACTGATTCAGTTCTCCATAGAATTACAGCTAACATTTACTGAGTGCTCAGTAGCTGTCAGATACAGGCTCATTTAATCCTCAATACCCCCACTATGAGATTGCTCTATTAAGTGTATCACTTAGACAAGGAGGCAAAGCAATTACAAACTTGCCTGAGGTCAAACTGTTAAGTGACAGTGAAAAGATTCCATCCTAAAAATATATATTTCTATTCTCTGGGATCTTAACTATTATGACAGAGACTCAAAAAGAGTTTAATACTCAAGATACATGGATTAAAATGTCTGGCAACAAAATATATTTAGCAGTTTTTATGTAAAAGTTGTCATAAATTATTTCTAAAATTCTACTTTCTTACTCATTTTACTTGATATGTGTGTGCCATTACAAGACCAGGAACATATAATTCAATGAGAAAGAAGTCTATACATTTCTCCATTTTATAATTTACACATTTACTAAAATTAGCATAAAAGTTTGAATATAAGGAAGGACTAATCCTCATTATCTTCTTTTGGAGAAACAGTTCGTTCATCTTTATATTTGAAACTCAAATTACAGATCTGGAGCTACATCACAGATAATCTTAAGAAACAGTATTCTGTATTCTGGAAAGGTACTTCCCAGTGTAGGAAAAAAAAGTTTTTTAAAAAAGTAAAATGACATTGGACCGTAATTTGGGAAGCCAGGGGAAGTTGAGCCCAAACACAATACTTTCATCATGTCACCTATAAACAGGTATAAATAACTAAGCAACATAAGCAGAAGAAAGTGACTAAATTTTCTCAGTTTTGTCTAGTGACTAGCAAGAAAGGCGGTCTTTTTTTTTTTTTTTTTTTTTTTTTTTTGAGATGGAGTCTTGCTCTGTCGCCCAGACTGGAGTGCAGTGGCATGATCTCAGCTCACTGCAGCCTCCACCTCCTGGATTCATGCAATTCTCCCGCCTCAGCCTCCCAAGTAGCTGGGACTACAGGCGTGCACTGCCACACTCAACTAATTTTTTTTTTAGTAGAGAAGGGGTTTCACCATGTTAGCTAGGATGGTCTTGATCTCCTCACCTTATTTTGTGTGTGTTGTGTGACAGAGACAGCAACATGGCTGTTTATTTCACCTGGGTGCAGGAGGGCTGAGTCCAAAGAGTCAGCAAAGGGTGGTGGGATTATCATTAGTTCTTATAGGTTTTGGGATAGGCCATGGAGTTAGGAGCAATGTTCTGCGTGCAGGAGGTGGATCTCACAAAGTAAATTCTCAAGGGTGGGGAGAATTACAAATAACCTACTTAGGGGTAGGGGAGATTACAAACTACGTTGATCAGTTAGGGTAGGGCAGAAACAAATCACAATGGTGGAATGTCATCAGTTAAGGCTACTTTCACTTCTTTTGTGGATCTTCAGTTGCTTCAGGCCATCTGGATGTGCACGTCACAGGGGATATGATGGCTTAGCTTGGGCTCAGAGGCCTGATAGTCCTGTCTTCTTATATTAATAAGAAAAGCAAAACAAAATAGTGAAGTTTTGGAGCGGCGAAAAATTTTGGGGGTGGTATGGAGAGATAATGGGCGCTGTTTCTCAGGGCTGCTTCGAGCAGGATTAGGAGTGGCGTGAGAACCTACAGTGGGAGAGATTCAACTGAAGAAAGATTTTGTGGTAAGGGGTGATATTATGGGGTTGTTAGAAGGAGCATTTGTCCTATAGAATGGTTGGTGATGGCCTGGATACAGTTTCGGATGAATTGAGAAACTAAATGTAAGACACAAGGTCCGAATAAGACAAGGAGAAAAACAGATATTAAAGGACTAAGATTTGGGAGGACCCAGGACATCCAATTAGAGAGTGCCCAAGGGGGTTCAGCGTAATGACTTGCTTGGTTGGCAAGTTTCTGGGCTCTATCCTTCACAGGGTCCTCCTTTTTAAGTTGGAGGCTGAGCTTGGTGAGGAGTGTTTTTAAAAGACCATTAGTCCATTCTACCTTTCCTGAAGATTGAGGATGGTAAGGGGTATGAAGGCTACATTGAATACCAAGAGCCTGAGAAACTTCTTGGGTGATTTGACTAATAAAGGCCGGTCCATTATCAGACTGTATAGAGGTTGAAAGGTCAAACCGAGGAATTATGCCTGACAAAAGGGAAGAAATGACCGCGGTGGCCTTCTCAGAGCCTGTGGGAAAGGCCTCTACCCATCCAGTGAAAGTGTCTACCCAGACCAAGAGGTACTTTAGTTTCCTGACTCGAGGCATATGAGTAAAGTCAATTTGCCAATCCTGGGCAGGGATAAATCCCCGAGTTTGATGTGTAAGGAAGGAAGGGGGCCTGAACAATCGCTGAGGAATAGTAGAATAGCAGAAGGAACACTGAGAAGTGATTTCCTTAAGGATAGATTTCCACAATGGAAAGGAAATGAGAGGTTCTAAGAGTCGGGCTAGCGACTTGTAACCTACAAGGAAGAGGTTATGAAATGACGATAGAATAGAATGGGCTTGTGAGGCTAGAAGGGGTTGATCTCCTGACCTTGTGATCTCCTGACCTTGGTGTCCCACAGTGCTGGGATTACAGGCGTGAGCCACCATGCCCGGCTAACGAAGGCCATCTTAAGTAACACATGCTTGAAATGAATGGTAGCAGAGATACTAACACAGGGTAAATTCATACAGGTGTTTGCTTAGACAAACACACTGAAATAAAACAATAGGAGCAGGTCTCTTTATCCCATAAACCAGAGATTCCTTCAGAAATATCCCAATCTGGCCGGGCGTGGGGCTCACGCCTGTAATCACAGCACTTTGGGAGGCCAAGGTGGGTGGATCACTCGAGTTCAGGAGTTTGAGACCAGCCTGGCCAACATGGTAAAACCCTGTCTCTACTAAAAATACAAAAATTGGCTAGGCTGGTGGTGCACGCCTGTAATTCCAGCTACTTAGGTGGCTGAGGCAGGAGAATCGTTTGAACCGGGCAGGCAGGCGTTGCAGTGAGCCGAGATTGCGCCACTGTACTCTAGCCTGGGCGACAGAACAAGACTCCATCTCAAAAAAAAAAAAAAAAAAAAAAGTCCCAGTCTGTTTCAACATGTTATGAGGACACTTTTCAACGGGCATTAGATAAAACAAAGGCATCCTTCTGATATTAAATAGCCAAAATGAATTCTCCTATTTAACTGACGGTGGACTCTAGAAGAGTTTGTGGGGCAGGGGTGGAAATCACTATTGCCATATCAAGTACATTCTAGGATAAAAAAATTTATACAAGGTGAGATTAAGCTAAAAACCTTTATTTTTCAAAATTCAAAATATATTTTTAGAAAATATCTGCAGGTTTTCTTTCTGTGCTTTGTGTCAAATAAACATAGGTTGTTAAAACAGACATGCAAATATAAAAATGTTACTCAGGGAGCAAACTACAAAGCTAATACATCACCAAGTTTAAAGTTCATGCCATTTTTACTTTCAGCCAAAAGTCTCTGCTCCCAGGTTTATAAATATCTGAATACTGTCATTCTCAAAAGCAAAAA